CCCACATAAACTAATGGCAGCTGCAAATACTCAGAACATCTGTAAGGGGCAGAGGAAAGGGAAGAGGAAAAAAATCCAAGTTTATGGCCATAGCCTAGTTCACAGAGATTAACTATCAAGTGGAAAGATAGATACTGGATCCACACAGCATCCTTATGCTGTTAACAAGGCATGTGACTCTGATGCCAAAGAAAGGACAGATTTAAAAATAAAAAAAATTTAAAAAAATGTATACACGCACACTATTACTACTCTTCATTTTCTGTTTTCAGCTATAGAACAGCTCAAGGCAGAGATAAAAGGTGAAGAAAATAGATTTCTCCTGTACGGGAAATCAGACACACAAAAAGGCAAGAGGTCAGGCAGAAATCTAGGATTCTACTGCAGAGTTACTCATTCTTCAGAGGTTTGTTTGGTCTTTTTTGTTTGTTTGTTTTTTTCCAGCAGCAGCTAAACACAGAGAGGGTTAGATCAAGAAATTATTTTGATTGGAAAGAGCTATATTTTCTTCTTATTTAATGACAAGCACTGCAGACAGCTGTGGAATACCCAAATATTTGTGAAGCTTTGAGAATATGCAGATACCAATACATTTTTAATAAAATTCACGTTTCACTTGCACACTGCACACAGCATTTTGGTGTTTTTTCTTTTTTTTTAAAAAAAAGGTCTCAATACTGTCCTGAGGGCTGAATTTGAATTTTTGATGGAACTTATATAACTACAAAATCACTCGTGAAATCCTACAAAATCCCTAGAGAAATCCCTGTTGTCTCTTAAATCCAAGAGACAACTTGGATTTATTTCTTTATTACTTGCATTTCATTCAATAAATGATAACTTGTTTTTTTGGTTTTTGGGTGATTATCATCTTGTCTACTGGTCATAAATATATTAAAATTCCTCTTTGCTTTCCAAAGTAGAGGGAGATAAAGCTGATTAACCAAATACAATGTTTTCACTCTGTCTGGTTTCCAAGGTGCAACACACAATAAATGTAAGCAAACATGATTTGGTTAACACCAATATCAGGAGGATTTGCTGTTCACGAACGGAGCCAGACTAGACAGAGAACTGAGGATTACAGTGGTGAGATGCTACAGATGCTTTCTGGATACATTCAGACTTCATTCCCTCTAAATTGACTTAGAAATCCTTGAAGTAGCTCCTGCAGCAGTGGCAGTGGTGGACTTCCCCCTCCACCTGCTCCTCTGCAGTGAGGACACCTTGACTATTAACCTCCACCACGAACTAAGGTCAGAGCTAAGAAGCCAGAGGATAAATCACTTATTTCATAGCTCATTACCTAGCCAGGCCTTTTAGTTCTGTTTTTTGATAGATGCTGTGGTATTACAAGTCATTGTGTTAAGCCTGTCTGAATTTGGGGCAAGAAAATGGGGGGGGGGAGGGGGGAAGTTCTTTGTGTAGCAACAAGAAACCTAAAAAGCATCCAAATGTGTAGGGTATATCACAATTGAAGTATCTTATTGACACCTTCCATGTCTAGTGTGACTTCTCCACACTAGAAGGTGTTCAGGCTTCCCTAGGAAGCAAAATAAAACTCAGAGGAAGGAAGAAAGGAAGGAAAGAAATACATACTGATGCCATTAGTAGTATGAGACCATTTTGCATCTCTAAATCACAGAATCACAGAATGTTGGGGAT